AAAAAGTCCCTATTTGGCATACAAAACCCACAGCAGTGAGGGGGCAAGTGCGGGTTTGAAAGTCAACGACTTAACCACTCAACCAGGGATGCCCCAACATTCAGTAAATTCTTACCAATAAGAAACCTTACTTTTCTGCAGTGAATACCCATTTTTGCTTTGATTAGTACCTCTGTTAAATACTTAAACATAATGTATGATAAGGATAAACTATCAGTGTTATTCTATTGCTAAAATATTTTAATTAAAACATACAAACCATACTGACACATAGCATAAAAATGATAAAATTAAAAGCAATTTTGTACTAGATCTTATATGGAAAACTACCCAAGTAAAGAAATAATACCTAATATATTGCCATCTAAAAATGCAGGATCATTTTTCTCATTTCTGCTGACTTTGAACACAAGTTTACACACATTTAAAAGGTTGTTACCACCAACACGGAACTGAAAATATACACATTTACACATAAATATCAAATGTTACAGGCAATAATAATCACATGTACCATCAGCAAAAAAATGCAGCATGTCTGCACATACATGCAGTCTTGCAGGACTCTGCCTATACTGTACACAGCTTTGTTACAATATTTTTATACTTGAATACTTCAATAGTATAACGCTTCAGACAAAAGCTTTATTAAATTTTAGCTGGGAAAAGGTTCAAATTAGCTTAAAATTTTCTGAGTGATGAATTACTAAGAACTGGGAATAGGTCCCATATATACATGTATTGAAACAGTACTTTAACTCATATATATCAGAACTAGTAAACTTCTCTTGTCTTTAACTTTGCTTATCTTATATAAGCTTGTATCGCTCAGATTTTAAAAAACTTTCCCTTTGCAAGAGCACCTGAGTAGAACACCAACGTTCCGTAAGCTGGGCTGGATAGCTTCCTCACATGAAAGAATACTTTAAAGTCCCTGTCGAGATTCGAACCGATATCGGTGAGGGGCAAGTGGTTTGAAGTTAACGACCTTAACCACTCAGCCACGGACGCCCCTGTCTTGTCAAACAACATGACATGAAAACTGGCCTAGCTGACTACTGATGATATATACATGATATTTTTTAAGGCTTCATTTCAAGCGAGTTACATAAAGGACTGAATAAATCTGTACAACCTTACTTAAATATTACAACAGATATATATAATGCATTTCTATTACTTGTATATATGTATAATAAATAAAATATTTAAAACACATTGTCCCATGTTTATCCAGAAAATATCTGAATTCAGAATTCATTTTAGAAATTAATCACTGTATAATAATGAACAAACATAAACTAACAAGTAAACTGAACAAAAATTAGGAAATGAAATATACAGAAAATTCAGAAATCAAACAAGTACCGGATCTTCTGCTACTATCTGAAATTTATTATCCATTAAATCACTGTAATATTTGAAGTCAATAAAAACAAAATGTTTTATCTATTCAATAATTTGAATTATATTTTTCAACATTCTTTTAAAAAGAAAAAATTTCATTTATTTTTGGTCAAAAGATTTCATAAAAAAATTCTATTTGGTCCAATTAGAATCCAAGTACTCCTTAATTTCAAAACATAAATAGAATTTGGAAAACTACAAGGGTTTTTGTCACACAAAATATGTCTCCCACCACTAGGTATGGCACTGATCACTCCTGTGAAGTTTTGTCGAAATCACGCTGTGAAAGTCGATTAAGCTGAATGCAGATTGATGAACTGATAAGACAGCGAAGACAAAAACAAAACAATGCCAGAAGTTTCAGTGCCAGCAATGCTATCTTAATTCACACTAACTTCCCTTACTGACCTTGACTTCCTTATATTACAAAATTCTATAACTGTAAGTGTTTCAAAGGCTGTGATTTCAACAAAAAAAATGTATATAAATAATAAAAGGTTGTACTTACTGCCAAAATGAGTCTCGCAAGCTGCAGTAACAATTGTGGTTCCTCAAGATCTAACATTTTAAATATAGATTTGAGAATTCTAGATCGTTGTTTGTAGGTTTTGGACAATAAATTATTTTTCTGCAGAAGTTGATAAAGATCTTCTGACAAAGATATAATCTTTTGAACATCTTTTTCTGAAATTATGAAAACATGAACCTTTTAATATGTGGTAATAAGGAGATAAGCATATGAGAATCTTACACAGGCTGATGGTACAGACTACCCTATATCAGTATATGGCTTAAGAGTAAATGTTTAAGTTAGACAATAATAGGGTACTACCAAGTTCCTATTTAACAGTTATACAGGGAGTAAATTTTAACCTGCAAGGAATTTAGTTTAACCCTGTCTGCCTGTCCATCCATTCGTTAGTCAGTCAGTCCACAAAAGTGGATCCTGTGGTAATGCAAAAAGTACTGAAAAAAATTTTATGGAACTTGAAATATGGGTAGATGGCCATCTGGAGATGATGATGTTTTTTTTTTCTATTTTAAGGTCTTTTATTTCCTCTTATATTCAATCTGTGACAATAGCCAATATTTGATTCTATTACTTGCTTACTACATATCAACTATTGATACAGTTATCTACAATGAAATCCAGAGTAAACAGAACATATATTGTTACAATGAGTCTTTTGTACCAAACTCAACCCAATTACATTCACTTAAGCTGAAGAATACATACTTTGACTGTATTCTGCCATTAATTCTAGCAGTGGTGATATATGATTGGTATAAAACTCTAGCTCTTCCTGACTGTCATCTTCTCTTTTACCTGCGCTACCTGAAAAATATACAAATAATAAGTTTAACTACTAGAAGAAAACAACAGGTGACCTTATTTGCATTAGCTGTTTTCAGACACTAGTAGGCACTTATAGAATCAATGATATTATGTCATCAAGGTGGTTGGTTAGCTTCCTTACAAGAATGTAAAGGCCATGATGGGATTCTAACACATAGCATAGAGGGGCAGTTGATCCGTTATCAGTCAAACACTTTGATCCATTTCAATGTTCATCTAGATTAATTTATTGTATAGCTTCATTTAATTTTCATAAAATTTATGACAAAAAGATTTCAATGTAGCAGAGGGGATATGACTAAACTCTTCAATTTCATTTGTACCATTAAAATAGGGCAAATTACATCTAAGACTAAAAAGCTAAGTTGGTAAAGCCATAAAAACCTTATCTATAGACTATTGTCCAGGGCTGTTAAGATGGTAGTGCTTTGAAAATCATTGCTCTAGGTTAAAGCCTATACCTGATATATCTCTAATCATGAGACAGTTATTACACTTGTTAAATAATGGGAATATATTTACCTCCTCTACTACCAGCGCTTGAAGTCCTCTTGGTTCCACCACTCCCCACCCTTGAGTCTGTATCATGACCACCACGCTTAGAACCACCACTCCCGACTCTAGTGTCTACATCATGACCAGTACGTTTTGATCCACCACTGCCAAGTCTTTCCTCAACATCAGTACGAACACTAGACACACTGTAAGATATATAACCAACATTACTTGTCATTACTTGTCATTACACTTGCCCTTATCCTTTGGTCTTAAACTTCCTTATTTTTCAATTATTATTATTACTTCTTTTTTGCTTTTAAGTTGCACCAACACAGTATAGGTCATTTCACATCCTTCCAGCTTTACTCAAGTACCCATCCTCGCATTATATAATAATAAGTACATTATCTGTTTTATAATGAGTACATCTACATGTTTATATAATTATCACTTAAAATTACAATCACCTTTGCATACTCAAACAAGAGGGCCATGATGGCCCTGATGTCGCTCACCTGTATATAGCCCCCACCCCCCCCCCCCCCCCCCCGGCCAATTTTTACCCAAGGGCTTTTATTTGTTTATTTGAACACACTTGGTAGACACTCATAAGAAGATGTTTCATGCTAAACATCTAAGTTCTAGCTCATTGGGTTTTTTAAAAGAAGATTTTTAAGTTTTTACTATACACATATAGTTAAAACAATGACACCCCTGGGCAGGGCCAGTTTTGACCCCCGGGCTTTTATTTGAACAAACTTTGTAGATATTTACTTAAGATGTTTCATGCTTAATATCTAAACTCTAGCTATTTGGGTTTTTTTCAAAAGAGGATTTTAAGATTTTGCTATACACATATAAGGAAAATCAATGACCCCCGGGGCGGGGCCAGTTTTGACCCCAGGGCTTTTATTTGAACATACTTGGTAGACACCATTAGAACATGTTTCATGCTAAATATCTTAGCTCTAGCTCTTTGGGTTCTTTAAAAGAAGATTTTTTAAGTTTTTACTATATGCATATAGGGAAAATCAATGACCCCCTGGGGCGGGGCCAATTTTGACCCAAGGGCTTTTATTTGAAGAAACTTGGTAGACATTCACTAGAAGATGTTTCATGCCAAATATCTAAGCTCTAGCTCTTACAGTTCTTTAAAAGAAGATTTTTTAAGTTTTTACTATATGCATATAGGGAAAATCAATGACCCCCTGGGGCCGTGCCAATTTTGACCCCAGGGCTTTTATTTGAACAAACTTGGTAGACACTCATTAGAAGATGTTTCATGCCAAATATCTTAGCTCTAGCTCTTTGGGTTCTTTAAAAGAAGATTTTTTAAGTTTTTACTATATGCATATAGGGAAAATCAATGACCCCCTGGGGCGGGGCCAATTTTGACCCCAGGGCTTTTATTTGAAGAAACTTAGTAGACATTCACTAGAAGATGTTTCATGCCAAATATCTAAGCTCTAGCTCTTACAGTTCTTTAAAAGAAGATTTTTTAAGTTTTTACTATATGCATATAGGGAAAATCAATGACCCCCTGGGGCGGGGCCAATTTTGACCCCAGGGCTTTTATTTGAACAAACTTGGTAGACACTCACTAGAAGATGTTTCATGCCAAATATCTTAGCTCTAGCTGTTACGGTTGTTTAAAAGAAGATATTTAAAGATTTTTCTTTCGGTTGCCATGGCAACCAGAGTTCTGCATGGAATTAAATTCTTTGAACAATTTTTAAAGGTGACCACCAAAGGAACATTCCTGTAAAGTTTGGATGAAATTGGCTCAGTGGTTTATGAGGAGATGTCATTTAAAGCAAAAGTTTACGGACGGACGACGGACGGACGGACGACGGACGGACGCCGGACGAAAAGCGATCACAAAAGCTCACCCTGTCACTTTGTGACAGGTGAGCTAAAAAACAAAAGCTGTCAGTAGGACAGCACACTCGACTATTCTTAGTGCTTGATAGTAAAAGAGCCTTGATAATGTAAAACTTTCTAACTTAACAAAAAGGCCAAATTTTTCTTTAAATAAATGTTACAGTTATAGGGCTTGGAGAGAGTCCTATTATGCTCTCAAACAAGTGTACAAAATTTCTACTTGTTTCAAAGCCAGATGTCAATGGAATATGAAAATATCTGAGGTTGTATAAAAACTTCATCATATATTCTAAGTCGAAAAAGGGGCATAATTCTGTCAAAATGCTAGAGTTACCACCTCGTGTCTACAGGTTAGGGTCATGATGGTGAACAAGTGTGCAAAGTTTCAAAGCCATATGTGACATATACAATGGACTTTAAAAATATTTCAGGTATTACAAAAACTGTAACATAACTGGTTACGCAGACACAGACACTTGTGTTACTAGGATAGCTCTACTTATTCTTATCGAACAGTCAAGCTAAAAATGATTTGCAAATACAGGTTATAATACCCAGTGTACAAACCTACCTTGAAACAGGTGTGTTAGATGCCACACTTGGTGCTCTGTGTGGCGGAGCTTCCTTCCCATCACCTTCACCCCTTTCTTCTATAGCTAGACTCCGCTCTTTATTCCCACTGCCGACACGTTCTGGAGTTATTTGACCACTTTCTTTACATGGAGACTCTGTAATACAAAACATCAAATAAAATCTGTCTTAATTGATTATATTACAAGCACATTTTAAATTTATTTCTAAAAAAGGATACTAGTCAATTCAGCCAAATGTCATTAAACAAGTGTGCCAGCTTGTTATCCTAATCATCTATAATAGTGAACAGTGATTTAGACTTGTTCAACAGTATTTCAGTTTCTGTTAATACCAGTGGGATTGTTTTCTTATGAATGTTAAAGGATGCCAATTCAACCTGTTTTTCATAAGAAATCGCCAATTTTTCAAACAATAACGCTTTGAGGTATAAAACAATCAGCATACCATCTGACAAGGTGCCGTTCCTGGATTTCTGAGATTCTGATACAGTAGAACCGTCTACACTGTTGGTATGTTGTGTGCGGGCTCGTGGGGCCTTCCTGCTAGGTTTACTGGCATCGCTCGGTGGTCTCGGTGGCAACAACAAACCCTCAACCTCGGCTTCTGACGGCAATTTTGCAACCTGAAAATACATCTATACATTTAGCCCTCTACTTCTTTTTTATTTTTAAGCGTTTATTGTCTTAAACCTTAACCGGCTGAATTTGTGTAATTGATTTGCCCTGCTTTGAATTTGGAACAGTCCATTTGATATTAAAGGCATATATAAAAATACAAAAATTAAGCTACATTTCATATAAACCCAGTCAGTCAGCATGGGTGTATAGGCAGACCCGACTCTTTACTAATGGTAAAGGCTTTTGATTCTAGCAGGTGTATAGGCAGACCCGACTCTTTACTAATGGTAAAGGCTTTTGATTCTAGCAGGTCAAGAGCAAATGATAATAACCATTTAGTGTTTGAAATTTTATAAAATTTAAACTTATAAGTCTTTTCAACATTAAAGACAATCATTATTTTGCTACATGTACTTAAGTTACCAAACAATATAAATAATCAAACAAATGTGTAATAGTTTTTAAAATGCAACTACAATGTATATGGTTAGATATACATGTACAAAGTTACGACTGATTATTTTTCCAACTGGACAAAATTTAAATGTACTGCATTCATATATTTTGTCTTATCTTTCAAACATGGTCTTTAGTCACTATATCTAACAATTAAACATAAAAAAAACTCGAGACATTTACAACTGAAGTAGGAATGAGCTATTCTCATGTTTGTCTACACAACATTTTACAGTATAAATATAGAAGTATTGTTTGGATCTGAGTTTCAAACCTGATTCTTATGAAGGTCATTCAGCTTAAACAATATAATTATAGATTCAATTAATTCCTTGAAAGTTTGAGGTGGAGGTATTTGATGACAACTCAAATCTACCAGCATACAGCATGGCCATTCATATATATGTACATATAGATGTATATCTGTGTACTTGTTGACCAAATTTAACTTTTTCGATTGCTGATTTTTAGTGTTTAGACATTAAACATTTGTAATCTGAAACCCTGCAAATGTGAGTTTTGCCAAGCTAATCCCCCAGTACAAACATTTACAATTTAAACTTCATGGTGCACAATTTTTAGTCGGGAGTTTAAGTCCATTCCATGAAAAGACCTAAGAACATTTTAAAATTAAAATAAGGAGAAAGTCTGTTAAATGAACATTTAGCAGTGAAAGGGTTGGAAATAAAATTGCTTGTCAAATTATAGCTAGACATTTTAAAAATGGATAATCCAATTCCTACATAAAATACAGTGAACCTAACTTCCTTTACTTTGCTTTTAGAAAGCAACATATCTGTGTAAGATTGTCTTATCTAAATGAAAAATAATCTTAAAGAACTTCTTTCCTTTTTACCTTTTTTTGCGTTTTATCCTGTTCAGTTTAAAGTTATTCTGACAATGTGTGGAATGTATGACCCCTGTCTAACATCAATGTTTACCCATAAAGAATAACTACTCAATAGACGTACATTTTATGTAACATTTGCAGATTATTTCAGACATATCTTGGGACATGTATTTAGAATTTCATTGACTTTCCATTTGATTAGTTGTTAGAAAGAATATACATGTAGTCAGTAGAGTAGCTGTGAAAGGATTGCAGCATGAACCATGGAGGTCAAAGGTCACTAAGTAGCAAAAAGCTAGAAAATGAGCCACGTCATGACAAAACCAACATAGTGCGTTTACGACCAGCATGGATCCAGACCAGCCTGTGCATCCGCGCAGTCTGATCAGGATCCATGCTGTTCGCTATCAGTTTCTCTACTTGTAATAGGGTTGGTAAGCGAACAGCAATGGATCCTGATCAAGACTGCGCAGATGCGCAGGCTGGTCTGGATCCATGCTGGTCGCAAATGCACTATGTTGGTTTTGTCGTGACCCGGCTCAAATTCCTTCTTCTTAAAGCTAGAACAGAAAGAAAAGAAGTCAGAAGTCATAACTGTCATTACTATCAGTCTGTTTTATTTTTTGTCAGGCATGACATGACACCTGATGGGACTACAAGTAAAAGCAAGGCCGTTTGTGTCCTTTAAAATTTCACAAAGGACACACATAGTTTTTCACACACAAAAAAGCAATAACCTAGGGCCATAATGCGTATTTAAGATCAAATATGAAAAATTGACTAATGGGTAAAAACAGGTCAAATCTAAGATTTGACTTATATTTTAGCTAGATTGAAAATCACCAATCAACATTTTTCTTGCGTGATTTTAAACAAGACAAATCAATTCTGATCTTCAATACATACCACAGATTAAGCATTCAACACTTACTTGTTATTCAATGTAATTCTTGTTTTTATTCTAGTAATTTTAGTTAACACAGGCTTTTTTTTCAACAAATTTAGCTCAATTAATACTGGTTATATAAAGTTAAGTTTAAAACTCATAAACTAGTCATCAAGGACAAGTCAGATGTGACTTTCAAAGAGCTTCCAGTGCTCTTTTTATGGGTGATTTTGAGCCAAAATTTCTGACATCTAATTAAATCAACCAATGCAAGTTCAAAATAAAAAGTAATATATGTCTAATTAAATCATTTAATTCTTTTTTTTAGAGGGAAAACCTTAATAGGTTTACAAGAAATAAATAATGTGCCTTATGTTTTTTTTTTTAATTTTCCCTTATTTTTGCCCCAGTTAACATGATAGCAAATATATATGTCCTTTACCTTCCCAAAGAGGCCCTAAAACTAAAATTTGAGTAACTTCAAACAGTCATAGTAATATGAGATAAAAATTCAAAGCAGTGGAGCTTAAGTAACTGAGCAATTTTTCACTGTAAATTGAAATTTTCTACAAACCTGGATTAAATTTTGTTTAGTTTATTCGTTGTCGGGCTATTGCTAATTCCAATCACTGTCAAAGCACCTGTTTCCAATCGTAAGTTGTATATCAATTCTAGAATGGAGCATATACAATTCTATAAGAAAAGAAGGAAGTAAAAAGCAAAGGTTACAATGATAATGTTACAATAGTAATAGAGGATGATATAGTGTGACAACATCTAACTATGCTAGAAACTTGCTTACATCTTCTTGTACAGTTGATATGCACGGTTTCTGAAAGTTAAAATTACCTTCGTCAATCGTGAAAGAGCCATACCATAGAACTTTTTATAACTTTGTATAACTAATATGAAATACAAATAACGTTTCCAGTATCTTCAAACTATGAACTGCAATGACATTACCGCATGATTGAGGCAATGTTTTATGCTTGTATTTCAGACAACTGTAACAATTTTGTTTGGATTTATACTTGTATTAGAGTGGAGTTGAATTCATACATTTTTCCTAACACAAAATACATGTCCACTGCGAACAAAGTGATTTCACATTTAATTTTATTCATATTGTGTGTTTTTTTACATATTCTCAGATAATTCATGCTCTATATACAAACAAACATAATTCTATTTCAATCAAGAAATGGCAACTTCAATAAAATATCCTTTAATATCCTATAGAAATAGTTTTCTGGTACAATTTTAAAGAAATGAACAATTTCATTCCAAGCTTTAAGTGATTTGATCATATGCATTTTGCCTAAACTAGACTAAGTGTATAGTTAGATTTTCTACATTGCAAACTTGTACAGTCTAAAATTCTTTTTCAAAAGCCTTGATATCATTTTAGTTAGCCTAAGAAATAAAACATATTGTATGAGAGTAGGTTCACTAACAATTCTATTGACCAAGTTAAATAAAATCATATTATGAGTGCCTCTGCCCTTGCGAGCATTATATTATATAATATTTTTTAAAAACAGGTTCAATGAACTTAGTAATGAAGCTACATGAATTATTATATTCTATTTATCACATTAATTAGAACTGTAACAGTAAAAAAACTATCACTTTTTCATTGACACACTTAAAGTGTAATGCTAACATGTAGCATATCTTAATGCTATACTTGTAAAACGCCAATGTCAGGTCAAAATATATGCCCAGCTGTGCAATACCAATTTTATGGAGTCGCAAAAGCAGCAAAGCATGTCATAAACCATTTTATTACAGTGATTTGATTTCTTACTTTCAATTTTTGGAAGCTATATGTGCATGAAGTAAAGAAAGGTAACTTTGGTTATATGGAAGATATTAAGGTATCAAAAAGTTACATGTTGGGTAAAAAAAAGTAAGATTTCGAGTTTACATACATGTAAGAAGAGTTGGCTTGAAGGGATAAATACAAAAGAAACAGGTTAAAAACTGATGAGAACTGAAAATTAAAAGTATTAACTTACATGATCTAAAGGACTCAGTCGTGTTCCTGAAACGGGTCTGGAATCTGGATCAAAGTGTCGGGAAATCTAAGCTGCCAAAATGAAAATACAACTTTTTTTCAATAACAATGATGTATCATTTAACCAGTGCTCCAGGTAAGCCCAAAACTAATAGCTGCAAGATACAGCAGACTTTAGCCAAGTTCTTTTGGCACAGTCCATGACCATTACATATCAAATTGCTGTAAAACCACTCAAGAGAACATTTTTGTTGACTATTCTAAAATTTTTACTGGCAACTTTTTGAAAATGACTCTTTACTTGAAAGTACAAGCTTACACTTGTAGATTTGGACATCGGTTTTTTGCAAACGACACACATATTCTGACTATGATGAAGACATTATACCAACTTGGCAAGTAATGATAAAGTTGTAAGCTAGAGAGAATTTGATCACTACTCTGAGCAAGTTTTTATTTTTTTTTATTTTACCTAAAAGCACTAGGTGGACGGTTATCAAGGTATTCACAGGTCTTGATCCAAACAAAGTTCTCCTATCATCTCGTGGTGTAAATGGTCTTTTTGTTTTCAATTCTTTAAGAGAGGATCTGGCTTCATTTATAATCTGTACAGCAATTGGTTTATCCTCGGGTGGAGCATAAAATGGACGATTCTCCTTGGGTTTTCTTGGTGGCTGTGGCTCCATAATGGCTAGCTATCTTCTCATTCTTTATTCTGTAAATAAAAACAATCTTGAGGATTGAATGATTTTGGCTGAGTTATGGCCCTTGAAAACAAAAGCCTTAAAATTTGGCCACTTTGATAACAGATTTTTTGTCTCCTGAACTACACTTTCATTATAATAGTTGATGTTTTATTTAACACAGTTATCAAACTGACAAATATATCTTGTCACACTGACTGAACAAGATGCATCATGCAAAAGAATAGTCAACAATGGCACATGAATAAAAAATTTCTGGTAAAAAAAAAGAAGAAAGACTGAAATACCCAAAAATAGACTTTCCTTATGTAAGTTATTAACATCTTGCACACAAAGAAAAATAGATTGTTTTACATAACCTCAGGTCTGATACAGTCTCATTACAAGCATTCATATTCATAAACAACCCAAAATCATAATTTATGTAACTAAAAAAATTTAATAAAATTTGTGTCCTTGCAATTTAAAAATGACCCCCCCCGTCACAATTAAAAAAGCAACAGGCCCCCTTTGTGAAAAATCGAATAAAAATCAAAATTTAAAAATATATATTGAATTCTATACCTATTTAATGAAATTTTCAAGTTGTCAATTCTAGTCAGGCCCCACCAGTTTTAACAAAGTAACTCAAATGGGAAATAGAAACAGGTGTTTTTCCGGAGTAAAGGAACACATCTCCCAACTTTTTCTGATAAATAATAACCTCCATCTTCTGCAGTGATAAAGGAACAGGGCATTTTTTGTCAAAATTGTGAAGGGGCCTTGGCCTGTTCGTTTTGTGAAAAAAAAACATGATGCGTCATGAAATTGTGAAAAAAAACACTATAAATTGAAAACAGTAATACATTTTTTTTTCAGACTTGAATTGACTTCTATTTTATTGACATGCTATTTCAAAGTTTAAGGTGTCTTTCTTTTGCATTTTTGAAATTTTCAATGATTTGATTATAGTCCTCTTCAGAGACTGAGAGTATGTATTCTTTGTACACCTGTTTTTCTCTTTTATCACCATGATCTGATTCGGTCATTTGTTCCGATGGTGGCGATCCGGTTTCATGGGACGAAGGTACAGGACAAAGTTTCTCAACTGCTCTTACCATTATTTTACCATGATCGAATTCGATCATTTGTACCGATGATGGCGGTTGATGGTACGGACATGATTCTGTAATTACCGAATCTGGTGGTAGCACGTCTGCCCGGTTGTCTAGTTTTTGTTTTTTTTATGCCGAAATTTTGTTTTTGCGTTTTCTGTTTTGCATTGTTTTTCCCATTTTGTGACATATTGAAACCGGAAATGTCGCGCGATGAACGCTTGATTATAATTTCCGACTAGTCTAAAATCCGCTTCGAGCCGGTATTTCCAACCCGGTAAACATGCGCAAATACATTTAACTTGATTAAAACTACGTGTTTTTGCAATTGGCAAAAAATCAAGTGTTACTGAAAGTAAACAATGAATTGAGAAGGAGTACAGATTCGAAGTCGAAGTCCTGACATTTTGTGAAATCTCTTTTGAGATTGTGAATTTTTTTCCGCCCCATTGTAAAAAAAAAAGTGCAATTTCGAATTGTGAAGGGGCTGAATATCCACCCCTGTTATAGAAAGGAAAAAATGCCCTGCGCAAGCGGTGCATTGGTAAGGTCGGCGTGACGTCACTTCCCGTAGAAACCGATATTCTAAAAATAGCCGAGGTGAAAACAATTACATAGTAACGAATGAAAATTATCGTTAATAAGTGGCTAAGCCTCCGTTTTTAATCAAAATAATATCAGCCAATTATATATTCTTTTCTTTTCACTATTTGTTTTATCGTATTTTACGTTGTACTGCGTCAATGTTTCTAGCAAATTATTGATCGATATATATCTTTTTAGGTGAAAACTTACAAAATACCGAAATGTGTCAATAAATATCCTACGATGTCACGAGAAGACCATGAGAGTGACATCTGATATTCTGTGTATTGTCGATGTTAATTTCGTCTGCATTGTCTCTTTTTAAAAAACCCCAACACATCCGTTTTAAATCATGCATGCATACATTAATAAAATCCAATTATTTTTGTTTCTAAGAGTTTTTCTTATCCCGTAGAGCTCCTATCTGTTGGATAAAGATCTATATATAGATCTACCTCATAGTTTTAAGAAAATACTAAAGGACTGATCATAGACTTTCCGTTTTTGCAATTATAGTTTCTAACATACGTAGATAAGTTCTTTTAAAAAAATATGAAAAGTGGTACATCCCCAGGTGGGGTTGGGTTTGGATTATTTTTGGGTTCGTTAATTAAATAGATTACAACTTTAAATGTTAAGTTTCGCAAGTCTTTTGTTGATTTTTTAATAATGTGTTCTGCAACATAATATCTTTTTAATTAATATTTTACAGTTTCAGCAGAAGATTAGATGAACTGGTGTAATTACAACCGTTGTTGTGTTTCATGTGAATCAAAAGCTGGGACATACGTTTTTAAAAGTAAAAATTTTGGTAAAAATGTTGTAAGTGTCTATAACAAAAGCAACAATGAAATATCACATACGTTTACAGGCTCACAAACGTCTTCATTTCTAGTTTGGTAACAAAACAGGTATTCCCAATTATGATTAAAGGGCCCCTGAAACCTTTTAAAATGAAAGGCCCAAACTTTTTTTTAAAAACATTTATTCAGTATAAATAAATCTTTTTAATGGGGAAAACCACCATCAAATCCTGGGTGCAGTATCGAAGAAAAGAACATAATTCCGTCCCACGTGATTGTAAATTTTAGGGTAACAAACTACCAACGACAAATATGTAATTTACAAAAAATTTAATCAAATTTACAATTTATGTAAACACTGTAAAAAGATTAGTTTTTTTTCTATATAACAGTGCAAATATTAAGTAGAAAAGGATTCTGCACAATAATAAAAACAAATTAAATTGATTAAATAAAATGTGATAAGCTTGCATCTTGGGAATTCCTTATTTTGTTTGGTTTTTTTATTTATTTCATTATTATGTTTTTAAAAACATTAGCACAAGTTAAAAAAAGACATTGTAAAATAAAATGATCTTTTGTATTAAATGCTTCTGAAATGTGTTTCAATATTATAATTTATTTTTCCCCTCATGTATTTAATGATTGATATATAATCAATCTTACAAGCACATATCTGGCACAAAACTGTGTTTAGATTTTTAATTTCTTAATCCGTTAGGCTAAAGGATTACAGTTTCCCAAGTTGGAGAAAAAAGTACCATACTGTTGTTTTTTTTTACGAAAGGCAATTGACAATAAAAGAAAAATAAGTAAATGAAAAATTATATATACATTAAATTTTTTGGGTCTTATTTCATAATGTTGCCATTTTTTACCCTAACAACAGGACCTGTATTACATTTCATTTCAACAACAACGAAGCTCCAGTAAAGACAAAGGATTTGTTATTTATTAAACAATCTTTTATCTCTTAATCAGTTCAGATAAATCACAATTGGCCCAAATAAAGTAATAAACAGTGGCGCCAAAATTAAGCCCCTCCGGAATGTCACATGATGCCCTAGGGGTGGTTTTATTTGTATTTGAAAAAGATTTACTAGTGGTAATCTGGACTAAAATTAAATACACAAGCTAGGGTGCCAATTAAGTATTTTAAAAAAAAAGTGGTTTACTGTCCAAATTTGAAACTTGGGTTGGAACTGGTTTGATCAGTACTTAATCGGTTCCCCTGTAAGAAAAATAAAAGTCATTAATTCAGGAAATGATACAAATATTTTTTAATAGGCTTTAAAATAGATATTTTGTCTAAGTATTTAATAGAGAAATTTTGTCAAACTATAATAAGTAGCATCTACTTTTGAAATACATTCATCCATACTTTTTTATGGCTTAATATTTTTTAATATACATGTACTTTTCAATTTTCTTTGATTTTCTAAAAAATTATCTAACATATGAGGAGAATGTGACAGAGAATGTTATACTGACAGAAAAAGTGTTGACTCTAGGACAGGGCCGAATTCGGATAGTGCATTATAAGTATTAAATTTATTATTTCGATAATTGTTAATAAAAACATTCGATTATTTAATATGCAGTAAAGATGCTTATATATAATCATTATAAACTCCCACTTAAAAAGCATTTAATCAATTATTTGAATTACGAAAATGCCATATAATTCGTAAGTAATAACCTAGTAATTTCGTGAGTGACATAAACGTCATGATCATTGCATAATGCTATTGATTAACTAGAAAAATAGTTTTAAATGAACAGTTGTGCGGTCATATTTTTATATTATGTAAATTTAATTGAATGAATTTCAATACATAACGAAATGCCTGACAGTAAATGTTAATATATATATGTGTAATTTGGAAGAAAAGGCAACCATTTGAAGCAATCACGCCAAATCCACTTCTCCTATCGCCGTATCGACGATCCTTGTTTTAATCACATTCTAGTAAAGTATTTTATTATATTTTTCTTTCTTCCAAATGAAATATTGGCATCCAGCAAACACCCTTCAAATCGTTGGCATGGCGAAAAAATTTCAATTATTCGTTCAATTCTACAAAATGCAGCAAAAAACAACGACTGTCGCTAAATACAAAATGGCGTATGTTTTCACCTCGGCTTATTGCT